TGATTATCACCAAGAACATCCTTCTCAAAGGCCATTCTAATGTTTCTGTTACCTGTTTTTTTTTTTATGTCCGGAGACGAAATGATCTTCAAAACCATCGAGTCTCCTCTTCTGAATGAACTGTAAAGAGATAAAAAGAATAGGGATCACAAATGTAGGTCCAAAGTGTTGGGGCTTAAAAAGACTTCACTACTTTGGAGATGTTTATCTCACAGAGAAGAATGTAATACAGCGAAATTGATAGGCAAGAGAAAGAAATAATACTCAAAGTATTACACAAGATTTTTATTCACTCACAAACTTAGTACAAGAGGAAACACTCAAACACTCTTAGAAGCTTTGTTGCTTCTTCTCACTTCTCACTTGGCACTCTCACTTCTCACTACTTGCTCTCTTGGTTGTTACATCACATAGCTTAGCACCTCACCTATTCATAGGCAAGGTTTGCCAACTTTGGCATTGCTAGAACTTTCTAGCTAATGCTTAACAACCACACATTTTTACAAGATTCTAGATCTTTCTACAAAAAATCTTAGATATTTATGCATGCATTCCACCAACTTGAACTTTGCTAGAACTCTCTAGCATGTGCGTAGATCTTTCTTTGTGTATGGGCTGGATCAATTGTCTTGGGCCAAAATAAGATTACAATTCAACACAGAGGAGATGTGGAATTCAATAACCTTCTTTTTCTTTTCTTTTCATGTTACAAAAATAGAATCAGGGTAAATTCATCAAATTCGAAATGCCAAATTCGCACAGCCCAAATTCGAAAGACAAAAATGTTCATTACAAAAAGACTTACAGGTCTAAGACACAGACTCAAGTATCATGAATCTGCACAAAGATGGTTTCATGCGCAACAACTAGGAAAAAAAACCTTAGAAAAAGTAAGAAATCAAGCGAATACACTTACGTAGTTGTGTTGTCTTGCCTCTGTGTGAGTTTCGGTATCCATCAATCGTTTGTTTTCATGCACAATAACAGTATGTAGCAAAGGAACTAGGAAACACAAAAGTTATTAAATGCAAGTGAACTTCACTCTGAATCTCGAATATCAAGTATAGGGGAATTTTGTCTCAAACAAACTTAGACAGACACCTATTGTATATTTGTGTCTACAAATGTGAATCATTATATTCATATTTTTGAACAGAGATTGCTGGAAAGGAATTGGCACTTAGTTCTTATATGTTTAAGTGGTGACCTTCTCAGGCCTCTTCCAAGTGACCATTTCACGATCAAAAGGGTTGAATAAAGCTCTGATTGCTATATCACTGCGTTTAAACTTCACATTCTCCTCTTCAAACGTGAAGCTCTGAATAGTGAACCCATAAACAATAAGAGCAAACAGCAGATCCATATGAATGAAAAAACACAGACAACAGACTATGTAAACCCTTCAGCACGCAGAAAGTGCACCGCATACGGAGTCCAATACAAGCTCTACCGCAAAATGAATAAATATAAATTTGGAATATTTAATTATTTTCAAGTTTATATGTATACTTAAAACATCATGTTTCTTGTTTCTCTCTAAACCTTAGGGGGTGTAGTTAAACTTGGATTAATAAAAGACGTTTCAAAGCGAAGGGAACATTAACGAAGGGATAAGTTAATATCATCCAATACATCATTTTGAGAAAACTCAAATATATCGGTGCCAACGAGTATTCCAACAATCAATATTTGTGCGTCCAAAGCATCACGGGCAGATGTAGAAAACTACCATATCTGTGTGAAAAACAGATACCATGCATCAAGTAACAGCAACAAACACACAAGTAGCAAAAACAATCGAAAAATTGAAACTTCTCGTCGTCGAAGCTTCTTCTTACCACTTCCAAACCCTTGGCTTCAACATCCATTTGTTTAGTGACACTTACACATTAAAGTTCCAGCCAACTTCCTCTATCAAGTCACAAGACTTGAAAAAAAAGAATGTGAATTCAGCAGCTATCAAGCCTTTTAGCCTACGCCCAATGATCGAAAACACGAAACCAAAATGCATAAAACGTAAAATCGAACCTTCAAAACAAAACCGATGTCTCATGCGATTATATTACGGGCTTTATATTTACGTCTTGGCTACAAATCAGTAAGCCCATGAGATTATATTATTTTTCTCCCTTTCTCTCCATGGAGAGCAACGTACATGACGCACGTCAAATATATGATGAAGAATTAGTTTGCCTACAAACTCTAGATATCATAGAGTTCGTCTTCGTATATCATTAAGTTCAAATTCAATACACCTGAATTGTTCATTGGACGAGTAATAAACTTTTTGAGTGTTCCTTGATAAGTGTAGACATCAAATAGAGTATGAGTATGTGCCATGTCAGCTAAATATAGTTGAGAATTGTTAATAGTTAGCTGAGTTGTTAAAAGTTAGTTAGAGGTGAGTTGTCTAAGTGTAAAATGCTATATATAGCATATCTTGTAAACATTTACATTTTACGAAATGCAATTTGAAAAGTCACAGCCATTTCTTTCATTCCTCTCTCTCTCTCTCTCTCTCTCTCTCTCTCTCTGCAATTCTTCATACACAGTTCTTCATTTTCTTCATCTAATTCATAATAGTTAATATTCCTTAACAATGATATCACTAAAAATAAAACTTAGCTAGACGAGAAAATCTCTAGTGTATCTTGCTCTTCAAGCAATAACAAATTTACAATGAAAAATCTTATTACTAGGTGATATTAGAACTATAAAATCTTTGAGGATCGTTATTAACAATGTTATTATAACTTTTCCAATCTAAAAAAATTTTGGTGAAAAAATTAAGGAAGAGGAAAGGCTACCCATTTGAAGGTCAGAGCATATCACAAATCTTTTAGAGGAATTACTGAGGGGCTCTTAGCCTCTTATTTTGTTGATATAGATCGCTTAACATAAGGGGTTGCTGACAACAAAACTCAAATCTAAACCTTAGTTTAACAAATAAAACAATGTTTACCAACTTAACCAACTCTCAGTACCAGCTTATCCTAGTAAGAGTTGGTTTGTATGCTTATCATATTTCCCATTTTTCCAATTGAAGCCCAAGGAGGAAAATATCTAGGAACAATTATTCAACAAACCCAACTTGTTCAGACAACTCTTTGATGACGATTCGTACGATATGTCACTTCTTGTAACCCAAACTTGTCGTTCTCACCCAGAAATAGGTGATCCATCAACGTCAGCTAATTTTTTTGGGACCTGGTTTTTCTACCCTCTCAATTTTTATACACTCTTATCCTTTTTATTTATGCGATCACGGTTAAGTTACGTCAATATTTTATATTACTATTACTTTTTATCTTATTATTTCTATAAAAAAAAATCAATATAAAATATTGACATAATTTAACCGTGATCACATAAAATAAAAAATGATGAGAGTGTATAGAAATTGGAAGAACAGAGAAGCCGGGTCCTTTTTTTTGCAAATAAAACTACAACTATTTCATAAAATTATTACCATAAAGAAACACAAATTTGCGTTTAATCTACTACAAAGAATCATTTATCGTCGATCTTTCTCATGACTTTGTATGACCAGTTTGAAATGTTATGGTGTCGGTGGAATTATTTTCATAAAAAACATGATGACTGGTGAGATTTATTTTTTACTCTAAATTTCACCTCTTTCACTTATAATTGTACGCATCATTTGCATTGTGGGTATTTTAAATGTGGTGTGAGACACTCCAGACTTAACGAAATATAGTACTTACCCCCTCAACAATTAGTTTGAATTTCGATTCTTACTCATTCCTCAAAAAAATAAAATTACATTAAGATCACGTTTAATTACACTAAGATCATGTTTAAGTATTACAAATAATAAGCTATTTCATCATATAATCTACCTATGGATGCAAAAATTAAGGCTCAAGCAACGAGCCACTTCAATGCATCTTAAAAATACGGGAGTGGGGCTAAAATATACCAACATGAACGAGCCACTGCTAAGGAACATGGAGTGAGATACTGAGACTTGGAGCTCAAGCTTTTTATGCCTATAAAAGGCCTAGAATCCCACCCAAATGGGGAAGGGGAAAAGAGAAAAGAATGAGATCGTTCTATATTTTACAAGCATCTTGAACAAACATTGACTTAGCATTGGAGTGTTTTATTTCAGGCCTCCCTCTTTCCTCATTGATAGCAAATGAAAATAATGTCTAAAACTTTACAGCTTGTTAAAGATTACTTGTTGATGGAGAATTATAGTGACCGAATTTTTCCGCTCCAACACTACCACAATTGTATGGAGTTTTTAGCCATCGACTGACCACACTCCCTCACATAAAGTCACAAAGAAACATTAGGGTTCGTCAAGGGCTTAGTCACTTTTGTTTTAATCTCACTGATAAGTTGTTAACCCTTAATTGTCCCTTCATAATACAAATTAGTACAACTCTAAGCAACAATCTTTGGCATATTTGAAACTTAACCTTCATTCTCTACCTTTGGATCCAACGACCTCAACTCCATCCTACGGTTCTGATCCTCTCTCATCCACAATTTTTCCACCATCCGAAACTCACACCCGTCAGTTTCTAGGTCCCACATAACTTCAAGTGCAAACCTTTTCCTCCAAAGAAAACGAAACCAAGGTGGACCCATCACAGTGAAACCCAATTACTACTGTCCACGTGTCAACGGTAAACGATAAAACTGGACAACTTGTTTTCACTTATCGTGGATCGTTCCTTCGACTGTCGGCAAAGTTCTCTCACTGCTTAGCTGTCACTCCACACAACCCTGACGCGCCCCGACAGGTGTCACTTTCCCATTCGCAAAGCAATCTCCCCATGGGATCCGAATCCTTCCCGTCATGTGTTCGAACCAAAAACTACACTATATAAACCCCCACACATACGACACCCTGTTCGTGTCGGCAGAAAACAGCGCATTAATTCAAGCCGTCGAGAGATATTTTCCCGAGAAAACCCCGCGCCGTCTGAGATTTTCCCGGAAAATTTCAGCCGAATTCCCCTAACCAAAAAATGATGAAGCGGAGGTCCAATGCAAACGGCAGAGCGCGGGATAGCGCCAACAATACGACGCCGTCCTCGACGTCGGTCGACGAGGAAGTTGCGTGGGAAATGAGGCCCGGAGGAATGCTAGGTGCAGAAGAGGGGTGAGAAATCGGACGCTCCGACTCCGAATTTGCGTCTTCGGATTGCTTTCGGTGCTTTCCGTTACAAGATCTCGGCCAGTGCTCAGTCCACATTCGGTAAAAATGACATTGATTTACCGTTTCGTATTCTTTTATTTATTTATTTATTTTTGCTTTCTGTTTGGCTTCCAAGAAAATGGGGGTAAAAATAAGACTTATCATAGCATTTTCTCGCTATCCAAACACAATACTAATGATCACTAAAGCTTATGTTACTTTGATCGTATTCCAAGTTAATTACTCAATGTCATGCATTTAATTTGTCAACATATAATTGTGTGTGGTTGACTTGTAATGCAATGGATCGTTTTATGAATAATTTGGAGAACAAAGTTGATTACATGCATTGACGTTGGGGAGCATCGCTGTGATTGTATTCCAAGCTAATTGTCATGCTTTGAACTTTTAAGTATAAGATCGTCGAAGATTGACTTTAAAATACCGTTACAGTAACATCTCCAACTTTATAATTTGGAGGGGAAAAATATTAGATTACTCCACTTGCAATGTTGGTGGCGGAGGGTGGCGGATGAACTGTGAGGGTAAAGTGGTAAATTGACGTGGAATTTGACTGAACCAAACTCTACAGGGGAGTTGAAGAAGGTTCTTACGGCAGAGACGGGGTTACAGCCTGGCGAGCAGAGGCTGCTATTCAGAGGAAAAGAGCGAGAAAACGGCGAGTACTTGGACATGTGCGGAGTCAAAGACCGGTCAAAAGTCGTACTGGTGGAGGACCCAGCGAGCATCGAGAGGAGGGCCGTTGAGATGCGTAGGAATGCCAAGATCCAGGCCGCACATCGCGCCATACTGGACGTGTCCAGGGAGGTTGACAAGCTTGCGGAGCAGGTGAGCAAAAACCCAAACTTCCACTTGGTCACTTGATCACTGTTCACTTTTGTTTTTGTAATGTGTGTTTTTTGGTGGTACAAAAGTAGTGTGGAGTAAGGTCAGCCGTTAGATTGGAAGTGTGATGATTCGTCAAAAGTGGGTGAGACAGCTGGGTTTGGGTGTAGAATCTTGACCGTTAAGTTGGGGTTTAGTGGGTCCCCTAAGATTGATTAAAATGAACAGAGAGGTCATTTAAACAGAAGATAAATGTTAAGAAGACTTTCATTAAATAAGGTTTTTTATGGATTTTTTATAACCGTACAGTTTAACGTTAATTATCATGCCAATATTATAAAATATTGTGCTAAAAACATAAAACAGTAGAGTTCCACTTTTAAGAGAGTTTTCTTAGCATTTCTCTAAACAGAACTTGCTTTGTGGGGTGTCTCGGAGTAAAAACTTATATGCAACTAACACATTAATGTGGTGGTATTTTAAACAATTGATGGAATAACACGTGAGAATATTAAAAGTTATGAATACTCATGATAAACTTAAAATATCATCATATTAGTATGACAGACCTCACAGTTTCATATAAGTTTCTCTCCATTAAGCATAGATTTGAAAACACGATACAGTCATTAAGCGGTGATTTGGTGAATGCCCAGTTGAAATTTGTGAGTGAACCACTGGTTGGTTGGTGCGGTTGTTCAATCATGTAATTAAATTGGTAAATATGGTTTGGAAGTTTGTATTACATTACAAGCTTCAGATTGGTTTGGTGTTGAATCTTCTTACAAGTATAAAGTTTTGACTTTGATGTGCATCTCCCACTCTTAGTTATATAATTATAAATCAGTTGAACTGTCCATTGTATCGGGGTACGTCTGCCTGAACCTTACAGGTTACTCTTTTACCATAAATATCATGGTGTACATTCATATTGTACCAAACCCATAATAGGATTCCGTTTTGTGGCGTGTGAGACGACTGGTCGATTAGTTGTCTCAAACGGAATTAAGAAGTTTTTCTTAAATTGCGTCTCTCTAAGGATTCATATGATGGATTTTTTGTAGTGTTTCGAAGTATTGGATATTTCAGACTTATAATTGTTAGATCTTTAGTCAAAAACATAAAAATCAAAATTTGACAGTTGAATTTCGAAGTATTCTATACTCTGGAGCATCATAAAAATTTTGTAGTGCAACTTTAGGGAATCTCAATGTATTGACTTTTTAATGTAAAAATGTAGTTTTTCGTTAAAGTAAACAGTACCGAAAGTTTTTTGTTAAAGTTTCATTCTTCTTTTATCACCAACCATGCATGCATACGTTTAACTGTGGATAATTAACAAAATGAATATTACATATTCTATTTTCGCCTTCTACAGGTCTCTGCAATTGAAAAGTCCATCTCAAATGGAGTCAAAGTACCAGAACTTCAGATAACTACGCTAATTGAGATGCTCATGAGACTAGCAATCAAGCTGGACAACATTTCTGCAGAAGGAGATGCTTCTGCTCAGAAGAATCTGCAGGTAATAATATGCTAGTGATCGTAGTGATCGTTAATTCAAGGCTTTGGCTGCATATGTTGGTTAGGTCTAGGGCGGAGCAGTGTGCTGACGTGTTGCAGTAGTTTAAATACAAGGAAAATTAATGAAAAGAGTTTGAAAATTTTGAGTTTTAATGATAATGACAGAATAAAAGGTAAAGTGAATAGTTTCATGATTGACTTATTAATGTAAAAATATAATTTTTCGTTAAAGTGAACAGTACCTTGAATTTTTCGTTAAAAATCCCTTAAATATATATGGAAAGGGATCCCTGGATCCCTTCACGTAATCCTCTTCATTAAATAATTCGAGCCCTTAAAATTTGATACAATGGCTAAAGTTTAGAGTAGGTATTTGTTTGTAGCCATTGAATCAAATTTCAAATATTCGGATTGTTTGATGAGGATGATTAGATAGAAGGGATCTAGAGATGATCCGTTTCCAATATATATAGTCTTTGTCAATAAAAAAGGCTTTAACCAAAAAGGAGTTTTAATTCAGAAGTTGCTTTTTCCAGGGCAAGAGGGTGCAGAAATGTGTTGAAAGTCTGGATGTACTGAAGATATCAAATGCAAAGGTGAAGCCTGTTGTGGTGACAACCAAATGGGAGCCTGTTGTGACAACCAAGTGGGAGACTTTTGACCCTCCTGCAACCACAGCTCAATGGGAGTTCTTCGACTGAACTTCGACGATCACTGCGACTTTTTTTCTTCATCTTCTTCGCTCGTTCGTTTTATGTAATTAGCTCGAGATCGGGATGTGGCGAGCTACCTGTACTTATAGCTTCTTCTTCCATATGGACATCGCCAATAAGTAGTTGGTAATGAAAAGTCACATACAGTTTAGATAAATGTAGTTTTGTCGCAGCACTTTGATATTTCTACTTTGCCTGAATGTTGTGGACATGCAATTTTCTCCATGAAGGCGTGGTTTTTAGTCCAAATCAATATTCTATGAGTATGACCAAGAGAATATAATGTTCTTTTATGACGTGTGATTACAACTATTACGTAATGATCTCTTGTATTTTGTTTTCATTTGAAAGCATACTAGATCGGATTGTGAGAATGTAAAGAAATGTCTGATAGCAAAAGGTTTCGAGGAACATGAATGCAAAGATGGTACTTCCTGTATTTGACCCCACATTGGTCTCATTGGCCTCACCCGATACGAGAACTGTCTAATCAAATATTCCTGTCAAAGTTATTGCCCAATAACAACTTCATATTTAAATCTAAACTACTTATTAATATAACATTTTTTGTCAACCAAAACTCTAAAAAATATCATCAAATTGAATAAAAATATATATCATATCAAAATTAGAAATTAAATAAAAAATTAAGTAAATTTATTCTATTCTCCCTAATGCACACTCGATGGTGTGCACAACGGCCGTAGGTTTGCTATCTCCAATTCAGTGTCTCTTTTGTGCCTCTAATTAAGTTATAGTTGATGGTTTTACACATTTCAAATTTTGAGAAAAAAGATACAAAAAAGACACTGAATTGGGAACAATAGACCTGTGGCCCTTAAGGGACATGTCAAAAGAAATGTAAAGCGAGACGGAATATTTCTAACTGTAGTTAATGGCGTCAAGTTACTTTTAACGGCATATTCTAGCATGGCATATTCGAGCTTTATCGTTTTTAGCATGATTTGATATACGAGTACGTATAATATTTTCTGGAAAGTATACAGGTTTTACATAGAGGGGTTATTACTTGGTATTGAAATGGTTTGGAAAACTTTGTTTTTGCCCATTCACGTTTTTGTTTTTCGCCTCTCCAGGTTTTAAATAGCGAGGATGTGGGTGACGAAAGAGGAGAGATGTAGTTGGAAACAGCGAATCTGTGGCCTCTACTTCCGCACTTTATATTCACCGCAATGGGTACAAATGGAATGTTATACCTATCGTTGAAGCAAGATGAACCCTTTTTTCTCACACAAACATGATCTAATGCTCCCAAAGCATTCCACACTCATCCACCCATCTTTTGCACATAAATTCTCAACAACCTCGACTCACAACCCCAAAACCCACTTCTCTACCTTTGCACCCTCCTCGCAAACTTCCCCACAAAACCCAATTGGTCACCTTCTCCAAAAATGCATTGCTCTCCTGCAATGCTGTGCATCCTCCAATTCCAAACTGAAGCAAATCCATGGCTTCTCCATAAGGCATGGGGTACCACTCAGCAATCCAGACATGGGCAAACACCTCATCTTCTTCATAGTCTCTCTCTCGGCCCCAATTTCCTATGCACACCAAATATTTTCCCAAATAGAAAACCCCAATGTGTTCACATGGAATACCATGATCAGAGGCTATGCTGAGTGTCAGAACCCAGCTCCTGTCATCCAACTTTACCACCAGATGCATCAAAGTTCCGTGCAACCTGATACACACACTTACCCTTTTCTTTTGAAGGCCGTGGCTAAGTTGATGGATGTTGGAGAGGGTGAGAAGATACATTCTGTTGTCGTAAGAAATGGGTTTGAGTCATTGGTGTTTGTTAAGAATGCATTGCTTCATGTCTATGCCTGTTGTGGGCATGTTGAGAGTGCACACAAGATGTTTGAATCAATGTCTGAGAGGGACCTTGTGGCTTGGAATTCTGTGATTAATGGGTTTGCTTTAAACGGGAGGCCGAACGAGGCTCTGACGATTTTCAGGGATATGAATTTGGAAGGTGTTGAGCCGGATGGGTTCACCATGGTTAGCTTGTTATCTGCTTGTGCTGAGATTGGGACTTTGGCTTTGGGTAGGAGGATCCATGTGTATATGTTGAAGGTGGGATTGACTGGGAATTCACATGCTACGAATGCCCTGCTGGATCTCTATGCAAAGTGTGGAAGCATTAGAGAGGCGCAGAAGGTGTTTGAAGCGATGGACGAAAGGAGTGTGGTTTCTTGGACTGCATTAGTTGTTGGGTTGGCTGTTAATGGGTTTGGTATGGAAGCACTTGAGCTTTTCAAGGAGTTGAAAGGAGAGGGATTGGTGCCCACTGAGATCACTTTTGTCGGCGTATTGTATGCCTGCAGCCATTGTGGGATGGTTGATGAAGGCTTTGAGTACTTTCGAATGATGAGAGAGGAGTATGGAATTGCGCCGAGAATAGAACATTATGGTTGTATGGTTGATTTGTTAGGCAGGGCAGGCTTAGTGAAACGAGCATATGAATACATTATGAACATGCCCATGAAGCCGAATGCTGTTATTTGGAGGACCTTATTAGGAGCGTGCACGATACACGGGCAGTTGGCTCTTGGGGAGATTGCAAGAGCACGCATCCGCGAGTTAGAGCCTGGACACAGTGGGGATTATGTGCTCCTCTCCAATCTCTACGCATCTGAACACCGTTGGTCAGACGTCCAAAAGGTCAGGAGGACAATGCTTAGTGAAGGGGTGAGGAAAACTCCCGGATATAGTATTGTTGAGCTGAGGAATTGTATTTATGAGTTCACTATGGGTGGCAGATCTCATCCACAAAGTGAAGAGATATACGCAATGCTAGCAGAAATCACGCGATTGTTGAAACCGAAAGGGTACGTGCCACATACGGCAAATGTTCTTGCGGACATAGAGGAGGAGGAGAAAGAAAATGCCTTGTCGTATCATAGTGAAAAGATTGCAGTTGCCTTTATGCTCCTAAATACTGCACCAGGGATCCCGATTAGGATTTGGAAGAACTTGAGAGTTTGCGCAGATTGTCATCTTGCATTTAAACTCATATCGAAGGTTTATGATCGGGAGATAGTTGTGAGGGATCGTAGTCGGTTTCACCATTTCAGAGATGGTTCTTGTTCTTGTAGAGATTACTGGTAACTTTTGCAGCAAGTTGTTTCATATTTGCCAACCTCGAACGATAACGAGCATGTTTACGTGAGATTTGGCATAGTATGTGTCATAGTATAAGTGGACATGATATATTATTCATTGCCCATCCAATCAGTGGCGAATTCAAGATTCAAATCTTGAAGGGTCTCAATGTTAAAGGTTCTAGTTTTTAGATAGAAACAAATAGAGAAGCGTGCAAAAACAATTCAGTTTATTTATTGAGACATTTTGCTGAACACTTAGTTTGTTGTTGTCAGTCGAACCAAGTTGCGTACTTGTCAACACATATTGACATATGTCTAAACAATTTGATGAGTGCTATTGAGAGCGTTTGAAAAGTGTTGTCAACGCAACATGCGAGATACATTTCTTCAATCATCGTGTGAGCACAAAAAGGACCTGTACCAAATATTTGGAGGGTCCTCAAAAAATCTTCACATGTATATTTCTCAGACTCTAAGTGATCTTAAGACCACCTAAGTCCCAACATGCAACTGCCACTACATCTATTAATATTAGGACAAATGGTGTATAGCTTGCGTTTCAAGTACACTGATCAAATTAGTACAAAGTTTGTGCTAAATCTTTTGTTTGATACGCCCTTTAAATTTCTTTTGGCTAAAGAAAAAAGTTTACTAAATAATGTTGCAAATATTTATATAATTTTTTTTTTTTTTGTCTAGCATTGGAGAGATTTTTTAATGTGATCGGCACATAAGATGATACACCACATGCTATTATATAAATGGTGAGATATGTGTGTTAAAAAACTAATAATTTAAAAAATAAAATTTCTCACCATTTACATAAAATCACATGATGTACCATCTATATTCCGTCGTAATAAAAAATTTCTCCTGGCGCTTAAAGAAGTAAAAATATAAACATGGCATATAAATCCGTGAAGCCAAACGAGCCCTAACGTTGAAAATTTTGAAAACCCGCCAAAGGGCGTTAGCTTGGGATATTTTGGCGGCTTAAAATTCAAAACGCAAAGCTTCGAAACGAAGCTTCATCTTCCTCAGCATATAAAAAGAAGGTTAGATCTCCCGCTGCGTTCAATCAATCTCTCTGATCAAAGCAAATAGCAAAGGAAAATGGAGACTCCTCCGCCCCACCTCGAGAAAATGGGCAGAGAACTCAAGTGCCCCATCTGGTATCCTCTCTCTCTCTCTCTCTCTCTCTCTCTCTCTCTCTCTCTCTATATCCAAACACTCCGATTATTTGTATTAAGATTTGTTTGTTTTGATGGGAAAGTTGTAGGAAAATTATGGGGAAAAACCCAAATAAACGATACCCAGTTTGTGCACTTCGATTTCTGTTTATTTGTGTTTTACGAGAAATTTAAAGAACCCATTTGAATAAAGCTAAATTTTTGTATTGAAATGTAATAATATTTAAATGCATACTAATTTTCTCGGCAGCCAAACAGACCCTTTACATGATTTTGTCTAGAATTCGTTTAAAGATTTGAAATTTCTCTTCACTCCGCTAATGGGTTCGATTTTCCCATCTGTTTTGCAGTTTGAGTCTACTGAGTTCTGCGGTTTCACTCAATTGCAATCATCTCTTCTGCAAGTAATCTCCTCCTTCATTGCTATTCGCATATGGATGTTAGGTTTTATTTGGCTGTATAATACTTGGAATATGCCTAAACTTATTGCCAGTGTTTGCTTATTCTTTACAGCGCTTGCATTGTGAAGTCGATGAAATCGGGTTCCAATTGTCCTGTTTGTAAAATTCCATATCGGCGTAGGGGTATGAATCATGAATCATGATGTTTTTATTATTGTGCTGAACTGTTAAGAGAGTACGATTGTTTTATGTGCAATCCATCATTCTTATCAATAATTTTTGTTTTAGAGGTTCGCCCGGCTCCTCACATGGATAATTTGGTTAGTATTTACAAGAGCATGGAAGATGCTTCGGGAATTAATATATTTGTCACTCAGAATGCACCCTCAACTAAATCATCAGGTATCATTTATGTAAACGCGTATGCAATAGTTTCATTTGCAATTTGCATACACGTTTAGTGTAATCAAAGAATCAATACCATCATTTTATATACTGGGATTTCAGTTTTGTTCCATCTGTTCATAGTGCAATTGTTAGTTCATAAAATGTGTTCAAATGTTGTTCTAACTTTTATTTTTGTAAACGACAGAGGAGATACGATGCAGCACAACAGTACTGTTGAATTGTATGTCGACATGCACTTTTGATATATCAGTCCGGAATTATTTACGTTGTCAGTAGAGTACAAGATATTGACAACACTTGCAACACTTGATTATATCCTATCATGTTAAGATACACTTCTAGGTGTTTTACATTTTAGTTTTACATGTACTATAGTTTGACTAATGCACTTTTTTGTTTTCATTTGGTTTGCTTTATTACAGACGGAAAACAGCAAGCTGAAGATGATTTTAGCCATGGCGAGCATGATCTTCCCGAGTTTCAGGATAGAGCACAGAAACAGAAAACCATAAGAGGAAAAGGATCCAGGAATGCTAAGGCCAACCTGAAAAGTTCTGGTTCTATTTCAATCAAACCTTCATTTCCAAACAAGAAAAGGGTTCAGGTTCCACAGTGTCCTATTTCAGAAACCCCAACTCGCCATCAAAAGTTAGAAGGTGATTTAATGGCTGATCGAGCTAAGCAGAGTTCAAAAACACTAAAGGAGAAGCCTGTTCTAAATGAAAAGGGAGAACCGGTGCTGTCACCTTTCTTTTGGTTGAATGACAAAGATGTAGAAAGTTTGAGTCAGTTTTCTGTCGGTGATCAACTTACCGATCTTCCATCTCCAAATGTTCCCGCATTCAGTGATATCAAAGACTCAGATGATGAAAACTCTGTTAGATTGACCCAACCGGTGAGTGTATAACCTGTTTTATACCTTTGAAAGGATTTGTAATATTGCTTAATTGATATGGCAGTTATGCCAAATCATTGGGCTGGTTTATTTTTGTTTTTCATTTTAGACATGTGCTAGAGTTCTTTACTAAGCTGGCAAGTTTATATAATTTCACTCATCAGAGCAATTTAAAAAGTGCATTATTTATTTAGATGATGCCATAAAGTTTTTATGATAATCTCACGTAGGGGGAAGTGCACGGTACATCTTCTCATGCTGCAGATTTATTTGATAGTGAGATTTTTGAATGGACACAAATACCTTGCTCTCCTGAACTCTTCCCAAGTCCTCCTAAGATGCAGGTATCAGCTCATTTTCACCTCATATGTAATTCTCCCTTCTACAAATTCTAATATTGTTTAGTCCTCCAATATTGCACGAAAAATCACAGCTTTCACTAAAGGAACTGAAATGCAGGTTGGAGAGGATGACAACGATAGAGTTCAATTGAAGGAATTAAAAGAAGTTTCACAAAACAAGAAATCAGTTGAGCTTTCTGCTAAAAGTGCAAGGTCTAAAAGAAACAAAAAAAGTACTGGAAATATGGATTTTCTGCCAGATCTTCCAGCTGCTGGAACTAAAGCTGTTACTAATGAATCTGACAAGCGAGGTAGGAAGGCAAAGAATCTCACCAAAAGAAAGTGTGCTACAAGACATACAGATCCAGGAACAGATATTAATGCCACTTTGAAGGGATCTGAGGTATTTTATGAAGGACAAGCATGTGAGAATTACGGTAGTTCTTTGGCCAAGTCTCGCAAAAGAAGTAAGAAGGAACATTCATCTGTTGTTGTAACCAAGCCCACATCTGAAAATGTTCATGTCCTCTCTACCAGAGCTGATAGTCGAATTAATGGTGAAGAAAATGGGATAACTGCATCACCTACTTCATTGGGAAAGAATGCAGGCGGTGATGAACCGTCCAGTAAGAAAGCTGGAAAAATGTGTAGGGAGGTCAATGACAAGAACAAGATTGACCGCCCAGTGAGGTCAAAAAAACAAAAGATGGTCTCCATGCAAAAGACAATGCTTGAGGCATCAGAAATACAGAAGCAAGCAAATAAGGATACTCCTACTGAGTTGTCTCTTATAAATCTTCCTACAGATGATAACCAGAAAGCCTCCGAATCCTGGACTAATTCCAGAAAACTTGCTAGAAAAGCCAAGTTGGGTGATCAAGAGCTGAAAAGGAACAAAAAGGTGAAAGTTTCTTCTGATGACAACTCAAGGGACGATACTTCTGTTGGGATTGGAGAAGGTCATGGGCATGTTAATGAAAATGGAAATCAACCTGCTGAGAAGAGCAAGGGAAATTGTAATGTTACAACTAATCAGTCACCAGTGCAGAAGCTTCCTTCATTGACAAAGAATGTGGTCTTGAAGAGATGTGAAGCCATTCCTAGTAAAATACAATGTGCTTTCTGTCTTTCATCAGAAGAATCAGAGGTATTTCTCACTTCCTTCCCTTTATATGCATATAAAGTTTACCTATACAATTCAAGGCTGACAATCATTACTGTCAAAACCTTAATTACAGGCTTCTGGAGAGATAGGTCACTACTATAATGGCAAGCCTGTCGCTGCGGATCACAATGGAGGACTCAAGGTTATACATGCACACAGGATCTGCGCTGAATGGTACAAATACACACACTCACAAACATATTCTAGCCAAGACGTGGTTATGTTTATGAGTAGATTTCTGTTTAAAGACTGAAATTAATTTATTTATACAAGCATTTCTTTGGATACTCACAACTTATAAATGCTCAAAAATATGTGCAGGGCTCCCAATGTCTACTTTGAAGAAGATACTGCTATTAATCTTGAAGCTGAATTAACTAGGAGTCGTAAAATTAAATGTTCTTGCTGCGCAATTAAAGGAGCAGCTCTTGGGTGCTATGAGAAGAGTTGTTGTAGGAGCTTTCATGTAACCTGTGCAAAGTTGATGCCTCAATGTCGATGGGATACTGTATGTATAACAAAAGAAGTGCTATTTTCATTCACTGTTTTCATTTTCCATGCTGTATTCTAATTCCAAGTGTGTTGAATCAGGACAATTTTGTTATGTTATGCCCTCTTCATGCCTCCTTGAAGTTGCCAAATGAAAGTCCTGAATCTCAAGCAACGAGGAAGAAAAGCAATCCTAAAAAGTATGTACTTTTCCTCGAATATCTAAAGCTTAGCACATGCAAACTCAGATTTTTTAAGATTCTCATTTATGCATTTTTCTTTCTCTATTATAGACAACCTAATGTTGAATGTCCTAAAGTTGCTGCTAAACAACACAGCAATAACCCTCCAGATCAGAAGTTTTGTGGACCGTCCAAGAAATTGGTTCTTTGTTGTTCATCCCTCACAAATGCAGAGAGGGTAAAAGAGCTTCTTAGAGCGTTTTTTTTTTTTTTTGTTTTTTGTTCATTTTTTTTCTTTCTCATCCTTTGGAAATTGAAATGTTCTAAATAGTTTCACTAATCCTTGCTGGTTTGAACTGCAGGAGTCTGTCTCTGGATTTGAAAGATTATCTGGACTTACGGTTTTGAAGAATTGGGATTCTAATGTTACACATGTTATTGCGTCGACAGATGAAAATGGAGCATGCAGAAGGACCCTCAAAGTTTTGATGGGTATCTTGGAGGGGAAGTGGATCCTGAATGTGGAGTGTGAGTATTACTGTTCCTGTTTGAAATGTTCTCCCTCAAGCACTTGGACTTTACAATTGTAAGGAGTATAGAAGCCTGAAATGAGCTATTTATATCTGATATATGTGCGTATTTGTCTGTCTGTTTGTGCAGGGATTAATGCTTGCACAGAGGCCATGAAACTAGTTGATGAGGAGCCTTATGAAATCAACATCGACATTTATGGAATCAGGGATGGTCCTCGACTTGGTAGACTAAGGCCGCAGAACAAGGTTAGCTTTTCCTCGAGTTCAACTATCATAACGAAAAGATTAGATTTTCATGAATTCACCATATGCATTTGACCTTGTTGGGTACATAAGCAGGTTACAAGCTTTTTTTAACGAACTGTTTTATATGCAGCAACCAAAGCTTTTTGATGGATTCAAGTTTTACTTCATGGGAGACTTTAAGCCTTCATACAAGGGGTATCTACAAGACCTTGTAATAGCTGCTGGAGGAACGATTCTGCAAAGAAAGCCTGTTCCAGAGGGCCCAAAAGCCTTGTCAGCCGGTTCCCCCAAATGTCAAACCTACATAATTTACAGCCTTGAGCTACCCGATCAATGTCATCGTAGCAAGAAGAGTACCATTTTCAGCACTAGGCAGGCTGATGCAAAGGCTTTGGCCAGTTCCGCTGGAGCCATGGCAGTGAGCAATTCATGGGTTTTAAACTCCATTGCTGCCTGCAAGTTACAAAATCTTTCTGATTTCGAATAGTATACATACTGCAGAAGTCCTGTAAATGTTTAGAACTTCTCCAGAATCCAGTTCTTATTTCAATTTAGTTACTTTGTGGTTCTGTTAAACTGTAAACATAAATGATTATGTAATACTTCGTTGCTTCCAATCAATTTTGGCTTTCAATCCTTCAATGTACAACTCCAAGTTTTGGGAATTGCTTGAATCAAATCTGTGCTGAGCAGTTAAATTATGTGATGCAGCTGCTGATTTGTTACTGAAATTCTGCTGTACAGAAGAATGTGAGAAAAATCAACTATGGATATCCAGGATGAACAACGAAACAAGAAGAAAAATCAGAATTTATAACTCTTTCGGCCATTGTAGGTGCAACCTAGAAACCTGAACTAATCCATTGCAAAACAAATATGCAACATCACTAAATCTCTTCTACTTCTGACAAATTACAACTACTTCCCTCATTTATTATATAAACTCGAAGAATTTTAGTTGTTTTCATGTCTTGGCAATTGAAAGAGAGACTGACAAAACTGCAAAAGTGGAGAGACCAGGCTTTTCTGGTTTCTAGTCACCCTTGTTCTAATGCAACAGGACGAGGCAAATTAAGTAGTGTCGATCTCAGTGTTGTGTTTTACACTTTCACCTTTCTTCGACTCATGCTTTGAAATCTTCATACTGAAGCACTCAAAAAGATGTTCCAATGCTGAAATCTCCTCTTCGATATCTGCTGCTTGCTTTGTGGCAATCTTTTCCTTGAGGACATATATTCGGTCTAGGCCTTCTTGAACTTCCACCCTCATCTCCTCCATCGCGGAATGCATACCATTGTTTTCCTTTTGTGCATCTTTGATCTTTCTTTTTAAGGATCTACAACCATCAAGGGACTTAAGGAGTTGCTTTGAAAGCTCCTTGTTTCGCTCCTGGAGTGCTGCATTCCCACGAATCTCTACCCCATCTGCACACCTCTTCTCCTTGTGCTCTGCTGCGCAAACTTTTACTTTTGCCAACAGCATCTCGTTTTGTGCTCGAAGATCATTGATATGTTCCTCCATCCCACTCATTCGTGAACCTTTCTCGCACACTCCAATGCAATAATCTCCTTCTCCTTTCCCAAGCCTGAACACATTATTTCTAGGCTCTTTCTTGCATGCCAAGCTCGCGCTAAGCTGTCTTCTCAACCTTTCTTTCTCATCAATTATTGGCTCCGGAGGCCTTTTGTCCCTCGGAACATTTGGCCTAAGATCTGTATTGCATCGCCGGAGCTCTGCTCTCCGCCCAACCGTTTGAGATTTCTGAATCCGGGTTTTAACATCATCGATTATTGTCATCATTCCCGCCACCCTTTGCGTCTTCCGGTCATCATTGTCTTTTGTGCTGGCCTCGTTATGCTCTTGGATTAGCTTTAATAATAACTTCACATTGGTGGCAATGCCTAAACAAAGAACAAAAAATTTACACAAAAACCAGTACATATTGCAGCGCAATTTATTCTTTTTTCCAAAAGCTTAATTGTGATTTTCTCACAAAAGAATAATATCGGAAAAGTTGTTGTCTTAATTCAGAAATTAGAAAAACACACAATACATGTCATTTTGCAATGACTTTAATATTCATGACTACAAACAAGCATTGAAAAATTGAGATTTCTTCAGCAACAATCTTCTACATATATATGTAATGCGAATGTATGTATAGATTACCATCAAAACTATGATCTTCTGGGCGGTCTTTAGGGGTTGTGGAAGAAGCTGGCAACGGTACTGCAGGAGATGGAAATGCTCGTACCCGGTTCATATTCACCCCGAAAAAAACCCGATCAAAAACGATCTTTTGATCTTCAGGGGGAAATGGTGGATCGATATCTTAAAGATCAAACAGAAGAATTTAGTATTTTTTTGATTAAGATTATGCTCCAATAATTTACTAACAACATAAAATATTTCGAGAGATCCAAAAAAGAGAGACTGCCTTTGCACTCTCTCTCTCCTCTCTCTAGCTGTTGGAAATAAAATCTTTCTTCTTCTGTTTGTTTGATGTTCGTCAAAAGCTATATGTAAATATAAAGAATTGTTGGTTCTTGGTTGTAAATCATGCGGAATTATTGGTGACGGTTTGACATTTTCTTTGGCTATTGGATGCTTTTACTTATTACACAAAATGGGTGGAGTCGTTCCCACTTCCCATGCAGTCAAGTTAGTTAGTTTTCCTTTTTTATTGTTTGCACCTGCCTAAACCAGAAAACAAAAAACAAAGGAAAAAAGAAAGAAAGAAAGAAAATAACACATGTTGCTGGTTTGAAATAGAACTCAAACATTGTTCGGAAAAAAACACAGATTTTGGACTCAAGAAACTAATTAAATGTCACTAGCATTATGATCTTTAGTGATATTTTCTTTCATTTGTGAAGTTTAAATTGCATGAATAACAAGTTTGTTACCAAATTATGGCGGATGAATTTTGTGGTTTAGCCACAATATTTTGATATTGTTGTATTAATTAAAAAACAATTAAACGGGAGTAAGGGGTTTCTTGGCAAACAAACAATAATATATCATACACAATTAAGAAGTAAAATAAGTATAATCAAATTGGCTTGAACAGTCCCTTTTCTTCTAATATGCAACTCATAGTTTGTCTGTTTTCTAACCTAAGCGGAGTATATGAAGTGTATATATATAATAAAAATATAAGAAAAAGAGTCCACCCAAAAGCATATTACCATATCTCTACCCTTCTACCAATAATGTAATCATTCTCCGAATCACAACCCGTCAAAGAGAGTGATTTTATTGTTTCTTGATATTCAAGTAATTAACTCGGTCAACGAGTTATTTTATTGAGAAAATCTTGAGATGTCGTTTTGGTTAAGATTAGGAGGCCTTATCTTGTGCAAAATCAAGAGACCTTGTTTCGGTTTAACAAGAATTCAATACCATTTAGGACTATGATGTAATCTTGTTGACTTGGCTTAATCCCTTATAATCAGTTAATAGGCCAGATTTTAGGGATCTTATCAGTATATTAAGAAGCCCTTGCACTCACAGTTCTAAAACCCTATTTGCTAGCAAGGGACTCACTGCTACTTGAGTGTAGAAGACAGCTGTCTTGCAAACCCTAGTTACCATGGCAGGATCTTCTTCAGGTAAGTCATCAAGTCATCAACCTAAAACTACGTTGCATGCTGCTCCTGTGTTGTGACTCTTAACATGCTGAGTTTATAAACCCAACAATAATTTGAAAGGAGGGTAGTTTTGCAAGAAAAGTGGGAAAGAGACCTGAAACTTACGTAGTGAATGCTTTACACATCGTAAGAATGTACTGATGTGTGTTCTATTTCTCTGGTTCTTCCTTTTCTTCTTCGTGAAATGTTTTCTATTTCGATCATGGAAAGGTTGACTACATAGATTGAGTTTTCGATTGAACTGGCTTACTTGGTTACAATACAGATGAAGAATGATATGTCTCCGAATGATTCCGTTGATGACTATGAATTTGCTGCTGCTGCAGCTGAAGATATCGCATTTATGATTCCGACTGATCGTATTGCCAGCCTAAATGACTACCGGATTATGATGATGCTTATGAACTCCAAGATGAAATCTACGATGTCTTTTATTTGAATTAGACATCTTCTAGCAGCTGAAATTTGGATTCTGGTGGTCTTCAATTTGGAAAGAAAAGAAAATTAAAATACTTAATTTACCTATCCAAACAGACCTCTTCAAGGCGGAAAATACTAGGGAGACCAGTATGGCATAATTTGGTGTGGAACATTTTTTTTCCTTTGATTAAATTGAAATTCCTAGTAAAGTTTTATCAAGATCTAAATAAATACATCCTAAACCCTATGCTCCTATATACCTATTCATCTACCATTCTAATAAATATCCTACTCTTTTAAAAAATAACATTATTTTGTAGATATGAGCATAATTACATTTAACAAATTATTTTCCTTCTGCATCTAAATTCACTCTTTGAAATTAATTAAATTAGAATACTCACTACCAAAAAAAAATATTGTTTTTTCTTCTTTTGCTATATATTTACTGTTTGATACCAACTAGAAATACTGTAGATCCACTGTCCTGCTCAATATCAATCACCGCCCCAACTTCACATTTCTCGTTGGTGTAAATCACCAAACACAAATCAGCAGCTAAAGCCGCCTATATGGCCAAGAGAAACTGGACGGAACTCCCAGACGACATCACGGCGGTGATAATTTCACGGCTGCCAGTCATCGACGTCTTAACGAGCGCTCAGATTGTGTGCATGAAGTGGCATAAAATCTGCAATGAGCCTCTGGCGTGGCGCACCATCGCCATGCATGGTCACAATCCCGCTACGTTTGACAAAATGTTTAAGATGTGCCGGCATGCCGTGGATCGTAGCTCTGGTAATTTGGTCAATATCAGTCTCGGATACTTCTGTAACGATGATCTCCTCGAGTATATCACTAACAGGTCCTTACATATTTCGATTTATATTTTGTTCATTAAATTAATTATATTTTTTTTGTTTTTGTTTTTTTTAATTTCTTAGTGGGTAATGTGAGGGAAACTAAATTCAGAGACAAACTTCACAAACTACATGATGTATCACCAATAGGAATGAGCACGTTTATAATGTTTAGGTAAACCGATCATCAACTTCCATGTCTTTCTAAAATTTTGTCTCAAATTTAATCTCTTTATAATTGATTTTCAAATAAAAATACTACTAAATTAAACGGTTTTTATCACTGATTTTCTTAATGTTATCTTATAGAATTTGTTCGATATGTATTTCTTTGTGTAATGGCTAACATACAACTTCATCGTAATCCTTCTAATAGTTCAAAGAAAATAAGGCGCATCCTACTTACGGGTTGCCGTAGCATATCAGATAAAGGGTTGAGTAGAGTGGCCTCAGAACTTCCTTTGTTAGAGGAGTTTGACATTTCCTTTTGCGAAGGGATCTCACATAAATCCTTCCAAGCAGTTGGCCGCTCATGCCCTCTCTTGAAATCATTCAAGTTGAACAAATGCGGGCTGGCGAAGCAGTTGGCCGCTCGTACCCCTGACGAGATTCGTCGCTTCTTTTTTGAGTATGCAGACGAAGATGCACTTGCTATAGCAGGAGCAATGCACGGATTACAGCACCTCCAACTTGTTGGGAATCCACTTTCTGTTATGGGATTGCAGAAAATTCTTTATGGTTGCCCTCATCTTAAGTCACTTAAACTGCGCTGGTGTTCAAATATTAATGTAGCGACCCAAGTTTTAGAAGAAGATGTGCTGCACAAATTAAGAAGTTTAGAATATTCCCAATTTACTGATGACAAGGATTTGTTCTCAAGAAGTTTGACGGACTTTGTTTGACTCTCAAATGATCAAATTCAAGTGTATTCGATATAGGTTTTTACTCTATGTTTAGATGAGGAAATTTTTAAGATTATTAAGGACAATCAGAATTATGAAATTTAATTTTCTAGAATTTGTGAAGTTTCTTGTTTGGCTATTGTAAAACTATAATGAATTTATGTAAAGAAAATGCAAATTACAAAGCTTAGCAAGCATTAGGGTACTTTTGTCCATTACCGTTTATATGTTTATTTGTAATTCTTAAAAACAACGAGAAATTCTTGTGTTCATCCAAAGGATCACGCATCAACAAGAAAACATACACAACCAAGCAAGACCACCCCTTCACCAACCTGAAAACAACGGGGTCCCTTAGTCCTCTCTGGCATAAAGGTTCCTTAAAAACAAGGGTAATTTTGTCTATTACAATTTATACATTCATTGTTTAAATTAATGAGAAATTCTTATGTTGGTTCGGAAAATCACATTACATACACACATATACAACCAAACAAACGGATGTATTAAAATCCACAAAAACCCTCTTTCGCCAACCCAACCAAACAAACAAACGTATGTATCAAAATCTAAAAACCTCTTTCACCAACCCAACCCGATGATAAAGAGGTCCACTTAATTGTGTGTGAGGACGTGATCTATTCGACACAAAGTCCTCCAAAACAAGAAGGTTCAGAAAAGTCAACGATCACGATCAAAATAAAAAAGTCAACGGTTAAACCCGAAAAGCTACCGGCCCAATGTAGGCCCAGAACCAACCAGGCCCATAGTTTTCTTCGTATTTGATCAGTTATCACTCGTTTCCCACTCTCCTTAACCCCGAGACTGAAAACCCTAGCCTTCCATTTTCCCGAGAAAATCCCAATTTCGAAACTTTCCCGGAAAATCCCCGAATCCAATCAAGCAAAGCCTCCATGGGGAAGAAAAGAAACAAGAAGGTCCAAGCCCCCCGATTCCAACCCCCTCGTTACAAGTGGGTACCCAAATCGAGACCCGCCACAGTCGAAACCCGAAACTGGTTAGAACTTCCACGAGACGTCACCGTTTCAATCCTGTCCCGACTCGGGGCCGTCGGGATTCTACGGAGCGCACAGTATGTGTGCATGGCTTGGCGCCAGATCTGCAAGGACCCTCTCATGTGGCGCTCCATCGACATGCGCAACGACGGCGATTTGGATGATGTGAGGTTCGACTTGGATTTGATGTGCCGCCGCGCAGTGGATCGTAGCGCCGGCAATCTCGTCGATCTCAACGTCGAATACTTCGGCTCAAATTGCCTCCTCAACTTTATCACCGATCGGTATTGAATTTTCGCTTTTGTTAAATTTTTGGTTTTTGAAATGTTTTGGTACTGTGATTTCATTAATTTGCTAAAATTGAATCAATAGATCCCCGAATAGACGTTTACTGAATCGTTTGTGTATTATGTATATTGGAAATTTATGAAATTGGCTCTAATCAAGGTGTTAATTTGATTTTGGTTGTGTGTATTCTGTTTTTGTGGAATGTATAATTGTTCATCTGTAATATTTCCATAGGTGCCGTGGAATCAAACGTCTCCGATTTACATATTGCTACGGTATAACAGATGAGGGGTTGAGTGAAATGACTTCAAAACTTCCTCTGTTAGAGGAGCTTGAGATTTCTTTGTGTGATAATCTGTCGTCTAAATCTGTGGAAGCGGTTGGGCGCTCATGCCCCCGTTTGAAGTCATTGAAACTGAACAGAGAATGGTTCAGTTTCCCGGATGATATGTTTGATTACTATAATGATGAAGATGATGATTACTTTGATGAAGGTGATTATTACTATCCTGTGATTGATGATCAGAATGGTAGCTCTGCGATTGCTCCTTCCCGGAAAGATGCCGAAGCACTTGCTATAGCAGGAACGATGCATGGTTTACGCCACCTCCAACTGTTTGGGAATCAACTCACTAGTGACGGCTTGAAGGCAATTCTTGATTCTTGTCCTCATCTGGAGTCACTTGATGTGCGCAATTGTTTCAATCTTAATCTGAACGGAGATGTGGAAAAAAGATGTGCTGAGCGAGTTAAAAACGTGCGGCTTCCCTTTGATTCAACCAAGGACTACGAATTTTCTGCTACAGCCTATGGAGATGGAACCCCTTTTGGATATTTTGATGAATCTGAGCTCTTTGGCTGTGGGGATTATCTTGATGACGAGGACAACTTCAATGATGATTATGACTATGATGAGGCTAGTTACTTCTCAGATGATAGTGATTGGTACGATGATTTTACTAACATTCGGATTTCTGATATGTTGATCTGAATTGGAGATCATACAGAGGTATTGAATTTGGAGGGTAACAACTTCGTTTGTCCAATGGATCCTGAATTTCGCCGTGAACTCAATTTTCGGTTTGGTAGCAACATGGACCTTGTTGCCTGTTCTGTGTATGGAAAGAGAGCTCAAAGTTATTTGTATTGTTGTTTTGCTACTAATTTGAAAGCTTTCTTGAGATCTCCTTTTTGTATATATTTCTTTCGTTCCCCTGCATCTCAGTTTTGCATAATTTGGTTCCACATTGTAATTTGGGATTTCAAATTTTACAAGAACGCGTTTGACCTGTGGACTGAACTGAAACGAGTCAAGGATAAGTCCATGCAAGGGGCAAAACCAAGCCCATCCCAAAGATGGGCTTTAAGCGCATGCGATTTTATGGAGAAGCACCTCATATGTGTTTCTTTTGTGGTAGGTTGCGTTGTCATACTTTGTAATTTATTTACACATCTAACACTCTAGGTGACTGCAAGATTTCCGGCCAAAATTTTCGGTCGGTCCAGTTACAAAAGTTACTCTCCGCAACCTTTTCTACTTACGTATGTATTCGTTTTGGGAGTTCGTCAACAAATCAACGTACAAATTCTAAATTGGGGAGTGCTAGCTACCTTTTTCACTTGAGTTCCGTCCAAATTCGATTTTCTAGCTACCTCGTTTGAATTGGAGACCGTCTAGCAGCAGAACTAACCCGAAGCATATTTGAAAATCCCCTTACATTGTTTGGGTGATGTGTGAAAGTCATAAAGATATAGTTACTAGGTTTCTCTGTAAAGTTGGCTTGAACTGAAACATGTAAAGGAAGAGTCCATGGCCTGATGTAGGGCGAAGAACCAGTCACCATCAAGCTTGTAGCTCAAGGAGTTGTCACGGTTCATGAATCTTCTTTTAACTACCTACTCAAGTGCGCTTCATGTCTACAGAGATTTTTCAAAGTGCCTGGAATACGGATTGGTACACCAAGTGTAATAATAAGAGTAGATGAAAACTCGAAAAATAAAATCTCTAACTAATTATATTATGATGCAAGGCACCTTCTTAACTTTTTAAGTCAAGATAAGTTGTTCTGATTGTTCAACTTTGTATTTTGAGAACTTTCATAAAAAGGGATTGGGCTATGTTTATTTAATAAAAATCATGCTATAACTTTATGTAATTAAAAAGACTTAAATTTTAATGAAAAACCCTTAAATTTTAATAAAAAAGATAAAAGAATTTAAATTTTAATGAAAAAGATATAATTTCAATATTAAAAAGAAATTAAAAAAAAAAAAAAATCTGACGCACGGATCCAGGCGTCCCCACACAAACTGTTTATGAAACTTTTTACAATATTTATGAAACTTAACGGTACTAAACTATTTATAAAACGTATTACACTGTTTATGAAGCTTACTACACTACGACACTGTTTATGAAATTTAACAGTGCTACACTGTTTATGAAACTTAACGATACTACACTGTTTATGAAACTTTATAGTACTACATTCTTCTCTCTCCTCTTCTTGAATTTTCTTGGCACATTCTCACCTTCCAAACACATTTTCTTCTTCTAATTTTCTTCGATACTCATCAAATTTTCTCTGTATCTCTTCAATTTCTTAACTTTCTACACCAATTACTTAACTTGCTACACCACGTGTTATTATGTAAGTGGTGGAATATTTTATTTTTTAACACAAGAATCTCACCACCTGTATAGAGACGTGGTGTATCACTCCGTGTTTCGGGCACATAGAAAAACCTCTCGTCATCTTGACTGCTATTGGGAAACAACACCACAAAAATGAAGCTGGGAAAATATAATTCAATTTGAAGTCTTTCTCTTATTCTAAGCAAAAAAATAAAAATAAAATAATAATGGCTTAATTTTAGCTGACAATGGGGAGAAAACAGAGTGGAAATGGGGGGTGGGGTGGGGTGTATGTGCTCCAACGCATGTGGTGTTTTTTATGTTTTTATTTATTTTTTATTTTTTATTTTTGTCCCTTATCATTAAATAAAGTTAATGGATGAATTTTTTTTTTATTTAAATGAAAAGATTTGAAGCCCATTTCATTAGTATTTCCCCTTATATCATTCAAAGACAACTTCTTTGAACCCCTCCTCTTCAATAATGTCTCGCTAGAACTAGGGAAGGAACCATCCAGGAAGCATGATGGCCTAATTATGTTTTGCAGAATTAAATTCCGAAACTAATTGGCAAATGAGAAGTAGAGACTTCACTTAACAACTAATTAGCAATATATGGAGTAGCTAATTCGTTATGAACTCATGCAAGGTCTGTTTACACTCCAATGTGAGACTACTATGTACTCTCAACACTTTCCCTTAAGTGTGACTTCATTTAAGTCTAACACGAGGACAATGCATGCTTTGATACCATAAAGAAAGTTGAAGCTCTATCCTAAAACTAATTGACAATTAATATGAGAATAACCCAAGCCCTTATAATCTCAGAAATAACTCACACAATTGTATTCATATCAAGTTTCCCTTTATCACTTCGCTACGAAAAACTGTATGTGAAAAGCCAAAAATGATATAAAAAATTAAGCACTCGGAACACTTTAGGCATTGTTTTAGGTCATCCAAGCGGTTGTTCACTCGCTTAAGCGTCAATACTTATTCTTCACGCCACTTTTAGTGAGCCAAAACACAAATTTGTCTTTTGGAGCGCTGCGACATCCCACCCATGTACTTTGGCCCTTCATTTGAAGTATTTATATTTTGGCCTTCTGTTACACCAACTACTTTTTTATACAAGCACAATTAGTGTTGTCTACATTATAAGCACAAAGCAAAAATTTCAAAAGACAACCCCGCACGATAAGTTGAAACAAACAAAGTATTTATGGTTCTGAACTGAAAAATAAAATATAACACACACACACACACACATATATATATGTTAAGCAAGGAATCTTAGATTAATTAGTCATTATCGTGTATTGATATTTACTTTCCTGTTTAGTTGTTAATTAGCCTTATTTGTAGGCAATAGAATAGGATCATATTGTGGTAGTCTTTGAATAAAGATGTAATTCTCGTTTGATGAATATACACGGAAATTCATTCCTAAGTCTATGCTTCTTATGATGGTACCAGAGTGAATGATATCTGGGAAAATAAAAAGCAAAGAAACAAACACAAACCCTAGCAAACATAGCCATGGGCGACACACCAGACAAGTCAACCTCTTTAGGCATGACTTCGCATCAAAAGTGGGAAAATCCCAATCACCCACTTACCTCCACCACTCGGATCAACCTGGTGCAATACTTGTGCCACAGCCTCTCGTGGAAGATAACTACGGTACATGGGCTCAATCCATGATCATGGCCTTGATGGTCAAAAACAAATTAGGGCTTGTTGATGGAGCGATCAAGAAGCCAAGTGAAGAACACTTTGAAGAGTTACAACAATGGAATCGATGCAATAACCTGGTAAAAACGTGGTTGCTCGGTTCCATGTCAAAGGAAATCTCTGGGAACGTCATACACTGCAAGGATGCACGGTAGATGTGGCTTGACCTACAAGAAAGGTTTTCTCATGTGAACATTGTCCAATTGTTTCACATAGAAAACAAGATTCACGACTGCATACAAGGGAATATGACGGTGAGTTCGTATTTCACCAAACTGAAAAGTCTTTGGGATGAATGAGACGTGCTTTGTTCTATCCCGACTTGTGGCTGTGACACGAAGAAGGAGATCACCTCCTACATTGAAACCCAAAAGACGATGAAGTTTTTCATGGGTTTAAACGAATCTTACTCTACTGTTCGTAGCAACACTCTCCTTCTTGAGCCTTTGCGCCATGAGAGGCAAGCTGAAGTCTCAAATGGAAAGAGCACTGCCTAACCAGAAACTGCTGTGTTTGCTGTGAAGGGTGCAGGTCGAGAGACGAAATTTGAAGAATGTAGTCTACAATGTGGAAAGTGTAACAAGACTAACCATATCACAAAGATCTGCTGTGCCTATCTCAAATGCACTTTCTGCGGGTGGAAAAACCATTCATATGAGTATTGTCGCAAAAGAAAAGTCAGTCGCAGAAATCGAACTAAGTCATTCTTCCAAGGGAAATCAAGTTGCCGTGACCAACAAGGAGGTGATGTCCAATTTTCCATTCTCTCAAGAAGATTGCAAACAAATCCTCCAAATGTTGAATAAGAACAAATCATCCTTTGTCAATCACGTTGGTAATCATGAAGACCTTTCAGGTCAATCTTTTTCATTGATACATCATGTCAAGAAAAATGTTTGGATCTTGGATAGTGGTGCTACAGATCACATAGTTTGTAGCCCTGACTTCCTTACGTCCTCAATACCTATTAAAAATCACACCATTGAGTTACCAAATGGATCCCTTGCCACGATCACTCATGTTGGCCAAATTATTTTTCTTCTGACTTCATACTTGACAACGTCCTTTGTGTTCTACTTTTTAAGTTGAATTTAATCTCTATTAGCAAATTAACCTATGATTCCCTCTCCATTACGATTTTCTTAAACCATTTTTGTGTCATACATAACCTACGCTCAGGGAAGATGATTGGGACGGGAATTGAACGGGAGGGACTCTACTACCTCGATCCACCAAAGAAAGGAACATGCAATGTAGTCCAAACCATTCCTTCCAGCCTTTGGTATCAACACCTAGGACACCCATCCCATAAGTCACCATGTTATTTCCTTTTGTCTCCAATAAAACTTGTGACACAAGTCAATGTTTAATTTGCCCTTTGGCTAAACAAACAAGGTTGCCTTTTTCTTTGAGTTCCATGTCTACCACATCATGTTTTTAATTGATACATGTTGACATTTGGGGTGGTTACCAAGTGTCTTCTCTTTCCAGTGCCAAGTACTTCCTTACCATTGTTGATGATCATACTAGGTGCACATAGATCTATTTGATGAAACACAAGTCTGACACCAAGGGGCTTCTCACCCAATTTATTCATATGGTCGAAACACAATTCACCACTAAAGTCAAAATGATTCGTAGTGATAATGGTCCCGAGTTTAAACTTGACATGTTTTATGCCTCACAAGGCATCATCCATCAAACTAGTTGTGTCAACACACCACAACAAAATGGTGTCATTGAACGCAAGCATAGCCATTTGCTTAATGTTGCTCGAGCATTGCTCTTCCAAGCTCATTTACTTAAACAATTTTG